AAATCCAACAAAATTATATTATATCTTTGATTGAAATAAAAAATAAAATAAAATATTAAAATTAAGATGTATCTTGCTGAATAATTTCGAATGATTTTAAATATAAAAATTTATTTAAATATTATTTTTATATCAAATATCACATACACGTGGTCTTTGATTTCCATGTGGTAAAAGGAAAAAAGAGGACCATGCTTGGGTGGCTTGTTGAGTCACCTGGTTCAAAATCGAGGGCTTGTCTCTTCTCCAACATAATACTCTCCCTCTCTCATATGTCTGTATACATATAGATTTGTATATATAATTTTCTTCATATTCTTCTCCAACTTAATTGCGTAATGTATTCTTGTTTTTTTTGGATCAATTCAATTTAATGCGCCAAGATTGTGCAAAGGTGAAATTTTGCTCTGATGATGGAATCCTTGGTTTTGTGAGTTTTGCCCAGGTGATCGGTAAAACCCTAGATAGCTCGTTCGTGTTTTTTTTATACGATACATATCAATTCAGGGGTTTGCCTAGATTTTGTTAGGAGTTTTGTTTCCGGATCTATAACGTTGTTAGCGGCAGTTTTACTCCAAGTTTCTGGACTTATTTGAGATCGAGACAAGTATTTAAGGTTTGGTTTTGAGTGCTATAGATGGCTTCAAATCCTCCATTTCAGGTGGAGGATACTGATGAAGATTTCTTTGATAAATTGGTCGATGACGTTGATGATTATAAGGTCACTCCCTTGTTCTCACAAAGAACCAACTTAGCCGACGGGAGCGATTCTGACGACGCTAAAGTTTTTGCTAGTTTGGGTATAAGTAATGTTGGAACTGGAATCGAAGATTCGGGGAAAGTAGGTAAACTAGAAGACGAAGAAGATATTAAAGCTCATTCTTCAATGAATGGGGATGTCAATAATGAGTCAACTGACACTTGTATAGACCCTGCTCAGCGGTTGGTGTCTTCAAGTTATTTTGCATTTGGTAGCGCGAGTGAAGAACCTAAGACTGAGGCAACTGAGTTGGAGGAGCCATTGGATTCTGCAGCTAGTTGGAATCATGGACCTGGAGGTGCTCCTGGAGTTAAGGTGGTGCAGTGGACTGCTTTCACTGAACCTGTCGAGAGTGGCAGTAATGGGTTTGGATCGTACAATGACTTTTTCTCTGAATTTGGAGATAATTCCGTTGATCAGGTAGGGAAAGGAGGTAACTTGGTTAGCGGTGCACAGAACTTTATATTGGGCAGCAGCAGTGTAGTAGATGATTCCTTGCATACAGAGAATGTTAATGATTATTCTCATCAATTTCACGAGGTCCAGGCAAATGCTGCGGCTGGGGAACAAAGCACAGATGGCCAAGATCTGAATAGCAGTCAGTACTGGGAGAATCTTTATCCAGGATGGAAGTATGATGCAAACACCGGGCAATGGTATCAAGTAAATGAAGGTTACGATGCGGCAGCAAATGTTCAAGGGGAATATAACTTGAACACTGCTTCTGAGTGCACTGTCTCCAATGAGAAACCAGAGGTTTCTTACTTGCAACAAACCGTCCAATCTGCTGTGGGAGCTGTAGCAGAGAAAGGCACAAATGAAAGTGTCACAAGTTGGAATCCTGTTTCACAAGGGAGTCACACTAATGAGAGCTTATCAAACTGGGATCATTCTTCACAAGAAAACAACAGGTATCCCTCACATATGATTTTCGATCCCCGATACCCTGGTTGGTATTATGACATGACCGCCCAAGAATGGTGCTCTTTGGATGCATATAATTCTCAACAGATCGTTCAAGCCCAGGACCAGGTCAATCAAAATGGGTTTTCGGCTACTAATACTTATTTTGGAAATGATAAAACTTATGGTGGGAAGGATCAATTAGATAAGCAGTGGAAAGGGTCTTTCAGTAATGTTGAACAGCAAGGATCATCTATGTGGCAACCTGCCCAGGACCAGGTCAATCAAAATGGGTTTTCAGCAACTAATACTTTTTATGGAAATGATCAAAAAGCATATGGCGGGAAGGATCAGTTGAATAAGCAGTCTGGATCTGAAGTCTTTAGTAGCCAAGGACAAGGTTACCAGTGGAAAGAGTCCTTCAATAATGTTGAACGGCAAGGATCAACTATGTGGCAACCTGATACTGCTGCCAATAGGGCGCCTATGTCGGATTTTGGAGGCAACAAACTTGTACAAAATCACCATGGCCCTAGTTTTCCTTTGGATAACCATGTTAACCAACAACAGGCTTTTGATTTTCGTAAGAATATAATGAGCAATCAGAGTGGCCAGCAAGCATCTTATGCCTCTAGTGCAGGCAGGCCATCAGCTGGCCGCCCTCCTCATGCGTTGGTTACGTTTGGTTTTGGTGGGAAGCTAATTGTGATGAAAGATAGTACTACTATCATAAACTCATCCTATGGAAACCAGGTTAGCCTGTGTCATTTCATATTTTGTTTTGATTCCACCTGTATTTGCCTAATATTGTTTTGATATTCAACCATCAGATATTTGTTTGCTTTGTTGAAGGATTCAAATGGTAGGTCAATTTCTGTTCTTAACTTGGCAGAAGTTTCCACCGGGGGAATTGATGTATCAAGCAGCGGAGCAAGCGTATGTGATTACTTTCACACTTTAGGTCGACAATCCTTCCCTGGTCCATTGGCTGGTGGAAATGTTGGTGGTAAAGAGTTGAATAAGTGGATTGATGAGAGGATCACACACTCTGAATCTTCTAACATGGATTATAGAAGGGAAGCTCTAAAGTTGCTCCTTTCTTTACTGAAAATAGCTTCACAGCAGTATGGGAAATTGCGTTCCCCTTTTGGCGCTGATGCTACGTTGAAGGTAAATTCATTGTCTTCACAATGTTGCCAATTTGTTTAAAGGCAATTTCAATCAGCATTTTGACCTATTTTCGCATTATGCAAAATTCATTATTTCAGAGCCAACCCCACTTGAAGCCAATCAAGACCACACTTCTGTTTCCAAAAAAAGTTGCATATGTTGTAGCTCTTCTATAGCGCCTGTCTTTTGTAAAACTGATTAGCTTTTGGTTCATGAATCTAGACCACATTGGAAAATTAAGCAATAGAAAATAATAATACTAATATACTTCAAGACAATGTTTGAAAGGAGTAGCTGAAATTTTCGCTTACAGGACTAGTATGATTGTCTTGCATTTATATTTGAAGTTGCCTTTTCAAGTCGTGACTGGAAAATTGTTAATGTACTGCTGCTAGGGATTGAAGTCTAGATGCCTCAAACAAAGCTATTAAATATATATCCCAAGTTTATGCACAAGCCGAAGCCCATGAGTTTGTTTATGTTTGCTTCATCTTATCTTGATATTTTATAGTCAGGAGAGACACTTTTTGTTGAGAAATACAGGGGACAGAAAAGGATTTAGATATGGTGTTCACTGTTTTGATGAAGACATTGATACAGTGTCAACTAAAGTTATGTGGTGGGCTCTGGAGATGAAGAAAGTAGCTAAAATATGTTACTGTTATCAAAGATAAATACCATGGAGTAGTTGCAAGTCTGAGCATGTGGTAGTAATACTAGCGTCTTTGCTATTGGAACAAGACTGCACCAAGGATCAACATCACTTATCTCTTTATTTACTGATTATAAATTACATACACAACAAAAATCTCTGGTCTATGCTCTTAGTCGAACTTGTAGCTTGAATATTTCCATTTCTGGTGCATTGATCTATGCGCTTTACTGTTTCTATTACACTTGATGTAGTGCTATGGTTAACCTCAGCTTGTATGTAGTGATCAGTGTAACTTATGTAAAAAATTGATAAAATTTCATTGCCTTCCTACTTTCTAAATTTATTCATAATTTTGCTACCAACATGACTGTAGAATTTGGTATATTGGCACTTCAACAGGAAAATGATGCTCCAGAAGTTGCTGTTGCCAGACTGTTTGCATCTGTGAGGACTAACAGCGCAGAATACAGTGATTATGGCCATTTCACCAATTGCTTGCAACCCTTGCCTTCAGAAGGAGAGATTCGGGTATTCATCATTTTTGTTTGCATACTCGAAATGCATCTTTTCACAACCGTGTACTACATAACAGTTGCTTCATCATCCAATGCATTTGATGTATGTAATTTAGGCTACTGCTGCTGAAGTCCAAACTCTGCTGGTTTCTGGTAGAAAGATAGAGGCTCTTCAGTGTGCAGAAGAGGGTCAATTATGGGGGCCAGCGCTTGTTCTTGCTGCACAACTTGGTGATCAGGTCTCTCTCTCTCTCCCCTCACATCTTCTTCAATATTCTCTTCCCACCATGTTCTTTCTTCTTGACTAATTTTTTCCATGGAGAAACTATATTGTTTGACACTCATCTAATGTCAAATTCATTTACTTACCTTTTGTTTTCTTTCTGGTGTCAAATGTTGTTGGGGTTCTTCATTGCAGTTTTATGTGGATACTATTAGGAAAATGGCTCTTTGTCAGTTGGTAGCAGGATCACCTTTGCGGACATTATGCCTACTTATTGCTGGTCAACCCGCAGATGCTTTTTCAACTGACCCTAAAACAGATGGTGGCATTCCTGGTGTTGTAAATATGTCTCAACAGCCTGTGCAGGTAATATGGTTATGTTCAGGTAGATATGTTATTTTCCTGCTATTTATTCCTATTTCACTTTAATTGTATAGAAAATAAACCTTGAACCCCTTGGTCTCTAACCTTTTGTAAAAGTGAACCTTGCCAGAGGGGGGGTAATGAAGAATCTACTATTGCATATCTCTTCAGTTGTAAAATCTCCTGCTTTGCTTTGTTTTGAATGCTTTTATGTCTTTTAGGCTGATGTGTTGCACTTGACTTGCTCACTTGTTGCTTTGCTATAGGCTCAACCTGATGCTAATTGTATGCTTGAAGACTGGATAGAGAATTTGGCAGTGATTACTTCTAACAGAACCAAAGATGATGAACTGGTGCTTATCCATCTTGGAGATTGTTTGTGGAAAGAGAGGAGTAATGTAAGCAGTGTACATGATATGATCTGCCGAAGCTTTATCTAATATGCTAATTTCTCTTTAAATGATTTTGATTCTTTTTATAATAATGATCCAGATCATTGCAGCACACATTTGCTACTTAGTTGCAGAAGCAAACTTTGAGCCATATTCAGACAGTGCTAGACTGTGCCTGATTGGTGCTGATAACTGGAAACATCCCCGAACGTATGTCAGTCCAGAAGCTATTCAGGTGGATTTCATCTCAGTTGCCTGGTTTTTTTATGCAAGGAATTACCTTGAATCCTATGCAATGTGGCATCCTTTATTGTTTGCCTTTGGTTTATTACTCTAGGTTTCTGGCTTGTTGATTGGCTTTGTGCATTGTTTGCATATTATCTTCTCAAATATAGCATCTAACTCTCAATTAACAATATTTGCTTAATAAAGAACACCTTAATCGTAATCTCATCCAGTCTGCCAATTTGTTTCAATAGGTAACGATTCCAAGTTACAGCATCTTAAGAAGCATGGACATTAGTAGAAGCCAGATTGCAAGTATCTTATATACGATGTTTTTAAATATTCTAAAACATTGAGCATTTTATAATCCAGACTATGTTATCTGACCATGACATAATAGAAGTCCCAGAAATACTAATCTCTTGTAGAAATATGTTCGTATTAATATTTCACAGAAAGGAGATGCTCTGTCTCTGTAACAAAGTTCCCTTCATGTCTATATACTGTCCCACATAGAAGAGAAGAGAGGAGAGATTTTCCTTAGCTTATCTATTGTAAGTACCTGCTTGGATGATTGCTATTGGCTAGGCTCTTCGGCCTTAACTAAAATGAGTTTCTTCCCTAACTAGTCACTGGGTTGTCGTTAAGGCAGTTAGGCTGTCAGATGGCTGGTTTCTTACCAGCTTTTGCAATTCAAGGTTTTAGCTATTAAGAAGACCGACAGAAATTGTCATGCCTGGAGCTTAAATCATGGAGTACGTTACTCACTCTTGTAAACCTGAATTTATTTATGTTCAAGATATGTATGTTGATACTTTCTTTGCTCGATTCTCATGGTGCTTTTACCTATATCTTTCTCTTTCAGAAATTTATTTTCTTAGCTGAAATGTGAAATGTCGAGTCGAGAATTTCTATTGTGAATGGAAAGAAAACTAGTTGAAGAATTGAAGCATATATGATGTGGTAATTATCTCAATATCATGTTTTGCCTTGTCATGACTGTTTTCCCCTTATTTTGTCCCTAATTTTCTCTCTTTTTTTTGTCAAGAGAGATTCTGATAAACCCTTCTTCAAGCTTTTATATCCTGCCGTATTAGCCAATCAGCCCACTGTGAACTTACAAATTGCAACTTAAGCCCTTGAAAAATTTAAAATAATGTATTTTAATCCTATTGTTTTGGAAACAGTGCATTCCACGTCCAAATCATCTCACAACCAGTGTCTAGTGTCCATATCTATGCTTCATAGTTTAGTACCTCTGTAATTCCTAGGCATCCAATGTTTATCCTACCACAGATAGTTTGAGATAAAAGGCTTTTGTTTTTGGGATGGAAGGATTTTCTTGCTGTTGTAAATCATTTGTTTCAGGTGGACCCATAAAGCACAGTTCCAGAAATCATATTTTCATAGAACTGGACAAATCATCAAACCTCATATCTAAGTTTGTTTTAGTAGTTGGATATTGTTTCCCTCATGGGAGCTCTGTTTTTGCAGGACATGCATAATGCCTCAACTCCGTGGAAGCTTTCACTTTTAAAGTGTCCTGTATTTGCTGAGCCATTTTTGCTTTTGTGAAAAATATTCTACTTCTATGATCCCCATTACCTCCCTCATCCATTAAAATTATAATTTTTCATAATTTGGCATGGAGTCAAAGTTTGGAATTCTCAATATGTGTTGTCAATATTCTAGCCCAAGTCTAGGGGTCTCCATTGGTCTAGAACTAGCATGAACCGACCAAACTGAAACTGAAAACTGGAAGAAGCAAGAACGTAGAACCCCAAAGTTTCAACTTGCAAAAGGATTTTTTTACAAAACTTTGTTGTATGCTGTTTCTAGTTAAGGGGATTTATATGTATAACATAATAAGTGTATATCCTGACTAGAACATGGTGGTAGAAACATATGTATACATAACCTCGTAAAAAACAGTGAAAAAATAGAATAGGTTGAGTTTTCCGATTTAAAAGGGTTTTGGACTGGACTGGATGGAGAACCGAGTTTGCTAAGATTTTGGAATCAAGAATAACCATATGTTCCAAACTAACTGCTGCACTCTCTTACCAAACCTCTGTGTATGTGTCTACACACGTGTGGCCGTGCACACTTGCACACACACATATATACATGCCAACATGGGTTTATTTTGTCTGTGTAAACCTACATTAATCTTCAATTGTATTAATTGATAGAAATAACTGTACCTTGTAATTATGAATGCATGCAGAGAACAGAAGTGTTTGAATATGCAAAACTTCTAGGGAACTCTCAATTCACCTTGTTACCATTTCAACCATATAAGCTTATATATGCTCACATGTTGGCTGAAGTTGGAAGACTATCCGACTCATTAAAGTACGCATTATAACAGTTCTGTTTCTTAGTTTATGGAGAGATTGCTTCCTCTTGGTCTTTTTCTACAACAAATTGATGTTTTTTATTTCATTTCAGGTACTGTCAATCTATATCAAAATCTTTAAAAACTGGTCGAGCTCCTGAGGTAGAAACATGGAGACAATTGGTTTCGTCTTTGGAGGACAGGATAAAAACTCATCAACAGGTACCCCTTCATCTCTAGTCAATCAATTATCAGTAGTCATCTCTTTGAAGTAGAATTCAAGTCTTCTTCCTTTTTTTCTCAGGGTGGGTTCTCTACAAACTTAGCTCCTGGTAAATTAGTTGGTAAACTGCTCAACCTTTTCGATAGCACTGCACAGCGTGTAGTTGGGGGCCTACCACCACCTATACCATCAACATCAAGTAGTGGTGTGCAAAACGGCCATCATCACCAACCCCCAGGGCCTAGGGTATCAACTAGTCAATCAACCATGGCAATGTCATCATTAATGCCCTCTGCATCAATGGAGCCTATGAATCAGTGGTTAGACGAGGGAAATAACAGAAAGACAATTCACAACAGAAGTGTTTCGGAACCTGATTTTGGTCGATCTCCCAGGCAGGTGTGATATATATCCATGTGAATGACTTCTTTCGAATCCAATCAGTCTATTTGAGTATGTTTTTTAACACGCTGGTAGGGGTTTATGCCAAACCAATCATTCTTATCGGCTGTTTTTTGTGTGAGGAAAGAGGGGGGGGGGTTACTCTCTTCATATAAGACAATTGTGCCTTTTGCTTGACACCTAAAGTAAAAAATTTGTAGTCATTGTGATATAAAGCAGCAGCCACCACAGATATATTATTCATAAGAATTGAACTTGATTCTTTTACCTTAAAAACTTGGTCCAATAGCTTGTATAAAATATGGATCCATGATATATGTATATATGATGAAAAGTATGGTTGAATGACACTTATGATTGGATAAAATGAGGATTATGCAAAGAAATTTATTAAGAAAAGAGTGTTGAACTGAATTTGATTTTCCATATAAAATTTTCAAAAAACAAAAGTAGATGCATCACTTAAGAACTTAAAAGCACCAAAACTCTAATATAATTCAGAACAAAACTAAAACAGTAACGCTCATTTTAACATGTGATGAAGAGAGTATTCTAGAAGGCAAACGACAGCTCTCATGATGTGAGATTGTATTGACAGGTTGATCCGTCAAAGGAAAACTCTGCTGATTCACAAACTAAAGCTTCTGGGGATACTTCACGGCTTAGTCGCTTCAGCTTTGGCTCCCAGCTCCTTCAAAAGACTGTGGGATTAGTTCTAAAGTCTCGTGGGGACAAACAGGTAACCAACTAACCATGCATCTACTAAGGAATCTGTAATATATATGTGAATATGCAAACATACACATTCAATCTTTCTATTTCCATACCACTCATGTTTAAAATTTATCAGGTGAAAATGAATTTTATTTCTGTTGGTTGCCAACTTTTTCAGTCCTTCAAAACGCACCTTTTTTTTTGTAGGCGAAATTGGGCGATTCAAATAAATTTCATTATGATGAGAAACTTAAGAGATGGGTAGAGGAAGGTGTTGATCCACCTGTGGAGGAAGCAGCCCTTCCTCCACCACCAACAATGACAACCTTTCAGAATGGAACATCAGATTACAACTTAAAGAATGCTTTAAAGAGTGAAGGCCCTCAAAGCAATGGGAACTCAGAATTTACTGGCCCGATGTCCATGGCACACAGTCCAGGAATTCCAGCAATTCCTGCCACCTCGAATCAATTCTCTGCTCGTGGAAGGATAGGGGTTCGAGCAAGGTGACTGAATACACTTTTCTCTTGCTAATGTCATTACTGAGCTAAAATTTCTTATTTTCGCATGCATTTAATAGCTTTTGCTATCTTTTCTTCCATTTTTCTTTTTTATGCTCCTAATTTTTTGGGGCATCCCGACAACTTAGACAAAATCCAAAGTTTCTACTAGTAGCATGAGAGTTGCATGATCATGCAGGGTTAGACTTGAAGATGCCTTTTAGCTCCGTCAATGATTTGCAAGGACTGTACAATTGGACTTCTTTGAAACTTAAAAGATATACTGTAGGTGCGAATCAGTAGAGTGAACTGCAGATATTAAACTTAAAGACATAAACATTTATTAGGTATAAGGTCATCTCGTTTATTATTTGATCTAATGGCAATATAATGAGAGAGATGAGATCCAATGAACGAAGTTGTTCTTTGTGTGGAATATATGTAGCCTGACGTTTTTGCTTTAGCTTTATCGCTACAAATAGAAGAAAATGGAGCTCAATGTATTTTTGGCAGCCAGTAGGGGAATGCAGTGAGAAATCTTATAATTTTCGACACTGCAATGATGGAATAGATATGAGCATGGGATTTGAATGTCAAGGGAGTAGTTGTTTGTTGTTTGAAAGGGAATTCTTGACAGAATCTACTAGACTATGCAGGATGGGTCTTAGAACTGGAAGCTTTTTGGGTCTAATATACATTTGAACATAATTTTATTTCACCCTATTCTTACAATCCTCATCTAAATCATTGATTTCATGAGGGTATCATCTAGGTAGATCCATAAAAATGACTAAGATGACGAGAGAGAGTGCAACGGGTGGCTACCAGTTTGCAAAAGAGAAGTAGGAGACAGTAGAGAAGGAAAAGTTGGTGAAAGTGAATCGTTTTGATTAGCCATCCTCGATACACCTCTTCTGGGTATTTACACTTGAATTCCTAATATGTTGGAAAGTCATCATTAAAACTTTAGAATAGTAACCAAAGGTTATTAAGGGGATCTTAAATGTATTTATACTTTGAATCTAATTTTCCATGCTGCGCTTCAGCATCCAGTATTTACATTAGCGTACTTGGGTGAAAGTAGAGCAACTCATGGAGAATTTTAAAAGGCACCAGCCAACTTTAAGCCCTCTAATTGCATGGTGTCAGCATTCAACTAATAAGAAATTAGTTGGTTCATCTCCTTTGTCCGACACTGAATTCGGAAGACAATGGAAGTAATCAAGTTTTGGAAGGTTGCACATATCAACTTCTTATGAAGGGAAAATCTATAGCTACCACTACTGCCATAATGCTCTCTACAATTCCTACATTTTGAAGGGGGAAAACATGTTATGTAATACACTCCCTCCTCAGAAATGGAAAACATGGCAAGTTTGATGGTTATGTTGATGGTAATCACAGATTACTCTTTTATCCCTCTACTGCTAACCTTCTCAAAGTTAAATGCAAGTCCTACTTACTATTTGCTTACTTTGGGAGGGAGGATATGTATTGGATCATCCCTCATGCATATGCCATATGGTTTTCCTATTTCCATGATCTTATCTTGAAGACCTACAAAACCACACACAACAAACTTTTGCTGCTCGACCATTGACGCTTTATTCATTAGGCAATAAACAAGCTTGGAATTTGAACTCTTAAGACCTCGCATTACATGAATTATGCAATATGATATGGATTTGCAGCGTCTGTTTCTGTTGAAATCTAATATATTTAACTGTGTATATGTTCTTGGCAGGTATGTTGACACTTTCAACCAAGGTGGTGGAAACCCTACCAACTTGCTCCAGTCACCTGCTGCTCCAATTACCAAAGCCGCCACAAATCCAAACCCAAAGTTCTTTGTTCCCACAGCATCACCCTTGGCGGAACAGCCAGTTGACACTTCTGATAACACACAACTACCAACTACTGATGTCAAAGAAGACCATTCCTTTTCTGGGGTAAATAGCTCGTTCCAGTTTCCTCATCCATCTTCAGCGATGAGCAGGCAAAAATTTGCAAGCATGAATAATGTTTCAGAAGCTAGAACGGCGACACGAAGAACAGCTTCATGGGCTGGAAATGGACAGCAAGGTTTTTCTTTCTCGAATAGGAGCGAATTAAAACCAGTTGGAGTGGGATTGGGCTTGCCTCCATCATCATTGATGCCAATTGAACCTGCTTTGGGGATGAATGATGAGCTTCAAGAGGTGGATCTTTAAGGCCAATATTCCCTAAGTTGAAGATGTTTTTGTGTATTTGTATAGTTGTATGTTAAAATGCTGTAGTGATAAATAGGTTTTGTTAAATTTTAAGTAGGCAAGGCTGTTGTGTACAGTTTGAAAATTTTGCCCCTTGAAGAAGTTGGAGATAAATTGGTTTGTTGTGGAATTTGAGATAAATTTATGAATAAATTGAGGTTTTATTCTTTATTAATATAGATTTTAATTTTCGTTTTATTCTTTGTATCTTTCGATTTTAATTTTTTTTTTCAATTTTAATATTTTGTTTATTCTTTGTATCTTTTAATTTTATGATACTGTATTATGTGGTTTTATGAAAGTAATAATGTTTTTATATTTGAATAAAATATAAATTTAAAAAATTTATCGATTTTAGTATTAAACTAATAATTTAAAAATTCTTTTTTTAATGATTTGTTTAAATTCAATTTCTATTATAATTTGATTTAGGTTTAATGACAAAATAATTTATTTTAGGTCTAATAATATAATATTTTTTTTATAAAGATAATAATAAAGTATTATGTTAAAATCCAATAATTATTCTAATTATATTTTAGATTTTTATATATTTAAAATCAGATGTTTATCTTGTATTTGATTATATTTATAAGTTAGTTATTTGAATCCAAACATACAGCTTTAAAAAGTTATACTTATACGCACCATTTACTTGTAATCTTAAATTTTAAGTAATATACATTAATAAACAATATTTGATATATAAAAGAAATGGTTTTTAAGACCTAATCTCAAATACTTTGTAATATAATATAGATAATTGGGTTTGTCGAACACATATATGCATTAAAAATAACGTAATAATCATCTGCTACTACACTAAGGGGCCGTTTGGTAAACGGTCTCTCAGTCTTTGCCTCGTTCTTACCGGGTAAGATTTTTGGCTCTTACTATTTTTATCCGATAAAGTAATATAACTTGGTAAGCGTTTACTCAAGTAAACATTTGGTAAACGGTCTCTGAATCTTTATTTCAATATTTTTCATTTAAAATCTTAGCACCAATAGCAAAATGTAACTTTGAATTAATTATTTATCTCATAAATTTGTACAAATGAAAACCATTACTTTCAAGGTAGCATGAAAACAAATTTGTTGGTGTTTTTCTTTCAATTTTATTTGGGTTTCGATCAAAAATTGCTTATTTAACTTTTTTTTTCTTCAGATTTTATGTTTTTATTTTTACTAGAAGAGTACTCGCGTAATGCAGCAAGACACATCTCGATTTTAATGTTTTATTTTATTATTTGTCTTTGTTGATGTTATAATACGATTTTATATGTTTTTAAGAAAACAATAATGATTCTTTGAATAAAATATAAATTTAAAAATATCATAAAGATTTGAAAAAATATATATATCAATGTTAATATCAAATCAACTATTTAAAAGTTCTTATTTTTTATTTAATTTCTGTAATTTATTTTTTATTATAATTTTATTTTAAGTTTAATAACGAAATAATTTATTTTTGGTTTAATAATATAATATTTTATAAAGATAATAATTAAGTATTTTGTTATAATTCAATGGTTATCCTAATTATATTTTAGATTTTTTATATTTAAAATGAGATGTTTATCCTGTATTTGATTATATTTATCTGCAGTTAATTACACGAATTCAAATATAAAGCTTTAATAAGTTGTACAATCTACTTGTAATCTTGAGTTTTAAGTAACATGCATTAATAAACAGTAATTTACGCATAAAAAATGATTTTTAAAAGATTTTGTCAAATGTTTTATAATATAATATAGGTATTATATTTAAAAAACATGGTATATTATATTATTTAACGGTAACCAACGCATATACTTTTAGAAATAAAAAAATCAAGTATCATTAAATTTAATATAATTTTGTAATTATCGTAATTGCAAATTTTGTTTTGTATGGTGAGGACGATCATAACCAGAGTAGGGGAGGTACTCGGTTTCTCCGTCGGCCATCAATATTCATCAAATTCCTTTGTTTCTATTAGTAGATAGAAGATCATGGCGATGGACCATTCAGACGATTTGGACCAACTTCTTGACAGTAACTATAAACCTTCTCTATCATCACTTGATTTTGCTTATTTTTTGGTACCTACGATATGTATTAATCAATTGCGTTTTGTATCACAATTAGGTGCTTTGGATGATTTCCAGACTCTTAATCTTGCCTCTCCTGCTCAAAGGTTTTGTAATTTTCTTATTTTTGTTTAAATGAGAAATCGTATTTACACACGTATACACCTTTGATAAGGTCATGTTATCAGCAAGTGAACGTTGTGGTTGTTATTTTGGCTTGTATTGTTTTTGATAGGGCAAATCTGGCATCTTTCAGTTACAGAAATTGATATGGATTCTATTACAAATCTTGACACACTTCTTATATTCTTCAGCAGTAGTTTGTTTAAACTTGATTGTAGTTGCAATTTGTTTTCCTCTGAAAATTTAAGGATGACCAATCAATTTGAAATTGAATGTTGATCCATTCAAGCAGAGGTGATGGAGGGAACAGAGCAGAGGGTTCTTGTTTGCCTAGTGGGATTCAAGGACTAGGAATGAGTTTGCCTGATTTGAGAAGTAAGAAGAAAGGAAAGCAAAAGGTGGCATCCAAGGAGTCTCATGTCTCAGAAACTCTCAATAAGTTGAGACAGCAAACTAGGGAGACTGTTAAAGGTATGGAGTCTATTGCAGGTCCCAAACCAGGTGGCATTGATATGTTTGGAGATGATGCAATGATGGAGGATTGGGTCAAGCAGTTTGAGGAACTTGCAGAGTCCCAGGTATTTCTTGAAACCTGGTTATACTTTTTGTTTCAATCCTGTTTAAATTATCATTTTTATGCTTGATTACAAGTTTGTTGTTCATCTCATCTGGGCCCTATTTATTATTGAAGTATTGTTTTTTTTTTTGGCTAAAGTTCCTGTAATTTATGCTCCCTTCGGCCTACTGTGGTGGTGGGAACTTGCTCATGATAACACAGAGATCCATAGTTCAAATACCACATTGCCATTGCCCATTTCTTTCAAGAAAAAAGGAGATAACATTGAATTTGAAGGTCAATGGGTTGCATCTAAACTAGAAAAATTAGTTTGATTTCTAAAATTTGGACAAATTATCACATTTAGCAACAAATGTAGAATATGTGTGTCTGAAAGGGAATCAAAATAGAAGATAGGTCCAATGTTAACCGCAATAGGTCAGAAGGGGTCGAAAATAAGGTTTCTGTTTTTTTTCTTCACCTGTGTCGTCTTCATTTTTCTGTCTTAATTGGTACATGGATCTTTCTTGTATTTTGGTGTGTGATTATTGAACCTGTCAAAGCTGTCATCATAGTACTTGTTTCTTGTGTATCATGTGGATTGTAGATCGTGAATATTTGATGTTTCGTTTGACTGTAGCAGGTAGACATTTGGTAAATGTTCGTTATGGAATTTGTGTTTGATAAGTGTTGCCAAAAATTAGATGTGGCACATAGTTTGAAAAGTTTAATTATTATTCAGATGTCTTGGAGGACCCTATGGTCAATCAATAGCATTGATTTTTGGAACCATGACAATGGCTAAATCAAGTTATTTTGAACTTGAAAAAACTTAGAAGTACTAAAATACCCCTCTCCTTGCTTTCCGTAGGACATGGAGTCTATGGTAGAGACAATGATGCAACAGCTCTTGTCAAAAGAAGTTCTACATGAACCCATGAAAGAAATTGGAGAAAGATACCCAAAATGGTTAGAAGACAATAAATCCAAATTAGACAAAGAAGAATACGACCGTTATTTTCATCAGCACGAGTTCATAAAAGATCTGAATGCAGCATATGAAACTGAGCCTGGTAATTTCAACAAGATCGTGGATCTCATGCATAAAATGCAAGAATGTGGTCAACCGCCAAATGATATTGTGAAAGAGCTTGCTCCTGATTTTGATATATCAGCTTTTGGCCAACTGTAAGTGCTTCATTTATCCTCTTTATCTTTAAGCCATATTGTTAGATCTGGCGCTGTTGAGTGCCAAAATTCTTATTATAGTTGGACTTTTCAGGTCATAGGGATTAATGTTCTACTTCAAATTTGGGATCAATGGACCAAAATTTCCATAAAATTTTGACATTGGCATTGAACTTGCTTAGATCACAAATGCTACAAAATCTAACAATGTAGGGTCACAAAGTCCATATCAAGTTTGAATCTGAAAAGTAACAAGCTTGGTGACATATATATATACTTTCAACCCGTAAATCCTCATGCCATATCGTTGTTAATCTTGCAATCGAAGTTCTTATAGTTTGACATTTAAGGTCATACAGACAAATATTCGAGTTGAAATTTAGGATTTGATAACATATGCTACAAGATCTAGTAACAATTGGTTGTGGTAGCAAAATATTAGTACTTGTTTATATGAGCTGAATTGAATTCTTTGTCCTGATAACTTGGATTAATGCATGCAGGTCACCAGAAATGCTTGATTCTCAGCAAAACTGCTGCATAATGTGAGGGAAGGAATGGAATGGATTGGATATAGCAGCACCTTCACTTGTTTTTGTTATAACTTCACATTGTTGTTTTAGAAATACGAGGGAAAATAGGTTGGAAAATTGATGGTTACAATTTATTTAAAACATGCCTTCACTAATTAAATGAATTACTTTTGGGTTAAATGAAGCTTTTGTTTATAATATGGCAAATGAAACCGTGTTGAGTTTCATTCACTATATATATTATATACCATGTTAAAATGGTAAAAGTCGGGATGTTCTATGTCCGAAAGAAAGTGAATTAATTAACATCTTTCTAGAGATGGGAACGGGGCGGGTGATACATCTCCTGTCCTCAACCGCGCTCCGATTAATCCCCGATGGATACAGTTTAGTAAAAAACGGTCTATTTTAGAATACTGGAAGAGTACTCGCGTAATGCAGCGAGACATATCTCGATTTTAATGTTATATTTTATTATTTATCTCTGTCGATAGTATAATACGATTTTATGTTTTTTTAAGAAAACAATAATGATTTTATTTTTGAATAAAATATAAATTTGAATATATCATAAAATTTTGAAAAAAAATATATTAATGTTAATATCAAATCAACTATTTAAAAGTTTTATTTTTTATGCAATTTCTTTAATTTATTTT